CTGACAGAAGCCAGAGACAGCATAATTTAGATTCCCGGTGTGCTTAGGCTAAGTAGAAAATATTCCCTTTTACTGGTAAGGAAAGGACATCTACTCGATAAATTCTATACTTGAAAGCTCTGGAATTAGAATTTGAAAATATTTCATAATTTAAATTGTACTGGTTTGTACTAAAGAATACTTCCCAGACTGATCACATGCCTTAAACAATTTGACTTAGTAGAGAAGGAGCAACAGTTTAAGATGAGACAGCATGTGAAGTATAACTAAGCCCGGAGAGACACTAACAATGATCCTCCCTCCTGTGTGCCCTCATAACACGTTACATTTCTCCTGGGTGGTTGCTGCTCAGTCACTAAGTCATGTCTGACTCTTTGCGACCCCTTGGACTACCGCATGCCAGACTCCTCTGTCCTCCACTATCTCCCAGGGTTTGCTCAAATTCATGTCCACTGAGGGGCTTCCCTGTTGGCTCAGTGGTGAAGAACCCACCTGCCAGTGCAGGAGACACAGGAGATGCAGTTCAATCCCTGGGTCAGAGGACCCCCCTGGAGGAGGATAATGGCAACCTAGTACAGTACTCTTGCCTGGAAAATTCCACGGACAGAGGATTTGGAGGGCTATAGTCCATGGGGTCTCAAAGAGTTGGACATGACTGAAGCAACTGAGCATGCATGCATGCATGTCCATTGAGTTGGTGATGCTATCTAATCATCTCATTCTCTGCTGCCTTCTTCTCCTTTTGCCTTCACTGCTTCCAGTTTTTCCCTTTCTATTTGCCATGCATATATTTTTGCCTTTTCATACTCTTCATGGGGTTCTCTAAGCAAGATACTGGAGTGGCTTGCCATTTCCTTCTCCAGTGGACTATGTTTTGTCAGAACCATTCACTATTACAAGTCTGTCTTGGGTGGCCTTGCATGGCATGGCTCATAGCTTCATTGAGTTATGCAAGCTCCTTCCTCATGATAAGGCTGATTCATGAAGGGGATTTCTCTTGCAGTTCATTGCTTTCAGCCTTTTATTTTATTTGATTTATAAATTGTTAAAGCTGGAAGATATCTCTGAGATTCATTATAGACAAGGACATATTTAGTCAAGCTCAGAGAGATTAATTGCTTGATTAAGATCACATTGTTTCTTATGCCTTCTATTAGGTTACAATGTCCTCAAGGGCCGGCATCATGGCTCACCTGCTAGGCCACACTATACAAAGCCCAGTGTCTTGTTCACTGATGTACTGTAGGAGTCAGCTGAAATGAGCTAAGCTGGATCTTATATATGTGAAATGCATTTTATATTGGAAATTAAAAAGAGAACTAAAATCTTGTGAGAAACCATAGAAGTATTAAAGGCCTATTTCTATGTAAGAAACTAGAACTTGGATAAAATTTGAGCAGATATATTTGTGTTGTTCAGTCTAGTCCAACTCATTGTGACCCCATGGACTGTAGCCCACCAGGCTTCTCTGTCCATGGAATTCTCCAAACAAGAGTACTGTAGTGGGTTTCCATTTCCTTCTCTAGGAAGATGTATTTACTTATAATTTATTTATTTAAATTGGGGTATAGTTGGTTTGGGCTTCCCAGTTGGCTTCAATAGTAAAAACAAAACAAAAAACCCTGCCAATACAGGAGACATAAAAGATATGGGTTTGATCCCTGGGTCAGGAAGATCCCTTGGAGGAGGGCATGGCAACCCACTTCAGTGTTCTTGCCTGGGAGAATCCCCATGGACAGAGGAGCCTAGTGGGCTACAGTGCACAAGGTTGCAGAGTTAGACATGACTGAAGCAACTTAGCATGTATGCACCCATAGTTGATTTACTATGCTGTTTTAATTTCAGATGTACGGCAAAGTGATGTAAATATATATATACATTTTTCAGGTTTTTTCCCTTATAGGTCATTACAAAATATTGAGTATAGTTGCCTGTAAGTCCTTATTGGTCATCTATTTTATATATAGTAGTGCTGTGCTGTACTTAGAGTACAAAGAGTTGTACCTAACTCTTTGTAATCCCATGGACTATAGCCTGTCAGGCTCCTCTGTCCAAGGGGATTCTCCAGGCAAGAATGCTGGAGTGGGTTGCCATTTCCTCCTGCAAGAGATCTTCCCAACCCAGGGATTGAACCCAGGTCTCCTACATTGCGGGCTGATTCTTTGCTGTCTGAATCATCAAGGAACCCCAAGAATACTGGAGTGGGTGGCCTATATTTTCTCCAGGGGATCTTCCCAACCTAGAAATCAAATCGGGGTCTCCTGCATTTACAGGCAGATTCTTTACAAGCTGAGCTACAAGGGAATCCTATATATAGTAGTATGTATATGTTAATCCTAAACATTTATATGTGCTTCCTTGGTGGGTTAGACGGTAAAAAAGAATCCACCTGCAACAGGTGAGACCTGGGTTTGATCCCTGGGTTGGGAAGATCCTTTGGAGAAGGGAACAGCTACCCACTCCAGTATCCTGGCCTGGAGAATTCCATGGACAGAGGAGCCTGGAAGGCTACAGTCCATGGGGTCGCAAAGAGTAAGGCTTTACTGAGCAACTTTCATTTTAAGCATTTATGTAATTCTTAACATACATCAGGCATTGTTGGGACAGTTTTACAAACTTTCACTCCTTTTGCCTCCATAATAGACCTAAGAATTAGATCCTACAATCTTCACTTTACAGATAAGGAAAGGAAGGTATGGAAAAACAAGTAGCTTATCATGGATCACACAATAGATAATGATAGAGCTGGGATTCAAACCCAGTCAGCCTGGCTCCATGCTGCTTCTCCAGGGGTGTGGACTGCTGGAGAAGTTCTGAGCAATTCTCTCTCCCTCTCTTTAAAATTATTACTGACGTGCAAGACTTCTTTTGGCAATTTCTCTAGCCTGGTCAGAAGCACCATGTGAGGTTCCAAGAAATCGACATTGCCACGGCTGACATATATTCAAGTCTGTGTCAGCTCAGGATGAACCACAGCCAAACATGACACAACTGATGAGGGTCTGGGACAGGTGCCCTGATCGAATCCTTGGGCAGAATCAGCACAAGCAGAAACTTGTGTGACTTTGCTGACACAGCTTGCCAACCTCAAGAGACTTCTCGGGTGATCAGAGTGGCTTGGGAGGAAGTTAAGACATCAGGGTTTGTAACTTTATTCCTGCATCTTGCAGGGATTGTAATTCATTCTGGGGAAAGTGCTGGAACTTCAAGGATTAGATCTATGTCCTTGAATAACTTTTCTTATCCAAGATTTGAATAAAGTACAAAAGTGGTTAAACTGTCGTTTAGACTTGCCAGAGAACACAGAAGTGACTGGAACAATTTGCCATAAAAGGAAAAGTACTCATTTCCAAAGCTTTTACTGAAATGATTGCTTTACTCAAATTTCAGATTTCCCCCCAAAAGATATAAAACTAGCCAGAGACTCTTGGTTCAAACTGAGGTTGTTTTATCTTAATGACATGTGTGGATTCTACAGTAGAAAACTGGGGAGATTTTAAACCTCACATGTAACCTGGAGTTGGTATTTAGTAGGTTAGTGGGAAATAGATTGAGAATAAGTGGTGGATGAATACCAAAATTTGAAAGAAACCTTGAAATATTCTTTGATGTGGTTGTCATGAAATATCAGCTTTCAGTATTCTTACTCAAGTTCTTTTGAATTCCTAGGCTGTTTTTTTTTTTTTAACTGAAAAAATTCAAGGATGTTTATTTTAGTGATTAAAAAGGTAAAAGACAAAAGCCAAACTGAACCAAAGAATTTGCAACAGGAGCCTTGAGAGAAAGCAATTGCCATGCCATTCTTGGTCTTCCGCAAGTCTCCCAGTGGCTGTGCCTCCATCTCTGACGAGGACGCCACGGCATCAACTGGTCCAAGGCCTATCTGACACACAGGACTGGAAGGTGTAAGAAAGCAAGTATTTACATTAAGCACAATACAGCAATTTATTTAGATGCTTAAAATGAATACAAAGGGAAATAAAGATCACAAAATTATACATACTACAACAGTGTGTCATATATTAGATGGTATAAATGAATACACCAGGGTGGTGTTTAACTAAAAATAAAACTAAATATCCAAAAAGCAGCACTCATCGGTCTGCTGCTTCAACACGACACACTTCCATACAGATCTAAAAGGTGTCAAAATTAGTAGCTGCAAAGTCAATTCTTGCATGTGATTTTTAGCTTAAAAGATTTCAGAAAACATCTGAAATGCCAGTTTTTGTTTTTGTCAGCTGTCATGTCAAGGATATTCAGAACAAGAAAAATTCTATAATACAAGAGAGTCCAGATATATATCTTATGCGGCTGGCCTCTGTCGCGAGATTGTACAAGGTTATGTGCAAAAACTAAGTCTGTCCCGAAGTCCACACTAGCATAGTTTCAGGCTTTTGCTAGGTCAACCTGATACAGCGCTTATTACACAGCAAGGGCAACACTAAAAAAAGGAACAAATCTATGGTGGGTACACAATAACAATATCATAAACATCACTTGAATAGGTCTAAAACACTGTACAAATATACATTTCAACTATTCAGAATGAATACATGAAAAAAAATTGATTTCCCCAAAGTCTACTGTACACATTGGACTGGTAGCTTGTGTGTTGGCCCTACACTACCATTTTAATCAGGAGAACGCTTCTCGAGGATGTCCAACCAGACACTGTTTTACAGAGGGAAAGAAATGTTGAGAAGGCAGATAAAACAAACCTCTGCTTTTTCTTGTGTGCGTTCATGAGCCACCAGATTATTGGTTTTTCACATTTAGTTACTGTGTCTGTCACAGAGCATTCTAAAACAAGATCAGCCAATCGTGTGTCACAGACTTAGAAATAACCACTGGGATTGGAGTGGCCACATGTCCCCACCGCCTGATGACCCAACACTCAAAAGGCAGTACCAGTGAGAACACAGCTTTGCAGTCATAACTGAAAGGAGAGCAGAGTTCCAGGCTGCAGCATTTGTCACCAAAGCCAGAGAGGTCAGGCCTTAAGCCTGCTGGCTGCTCAGTTTAACCCCCGTCAAGCTGCCGTGCATCGGTTCAGCCACCCCATCATGTTGTCAAACTGCTCCCCATCCTCACTGTCAATTGTGCTGTTCTGCCACTCAGTCTGTGGGTTGGATAAGCACTCATCATTTTCAGTTGCATTCTTCCACTGTGACTGGTCCTTGGACCAAAACCCTTCAACTTTTCCATAGGAACTATTCTTCCACTTCAACTGCTCTCTGTCACCTTGCACAGTAGCCTATTTTTTGGCAGCTGGCTTACTGCTCCTTGTGTCTTCACTCTGGGAAGACTCATCGGACCAGGTTCCTGTTTTCATCTCACATGTGTTGTCCTCAAAGTCTGACACTTGTTGGGAACCAGGGCCGCTCTCAGATGGAGAAGCACCATCTTTCCACTCGACAACATCATCTTGGTCAACCTCACTATCAGAGGCATCATGCGTTAGTTTGGTTGGCTCCTCAGTCAAATGAATAGTTTCGTATTTTGAACCATCCTCCTCTTTTTGGTCTAGCTTCTCAGATTCTAAAGCATCTTCAGAAATTACCTTCGGTATGTGTTCCTCTGGGTTATCATTAGGGACTTTAGGCTCAACTTCAAAAACAGGATCAAAAGGGCTATCACTTCCATTGGATTCTTCCTCCAAATTTTCAAAACTGTCTGAGGAACTGTTATCTTCCTTCCCAAGACTGAGCTTTTTGTCCGCTGTTTTACTAGCATGGACTCTGGAATCCTTCTCATCATGGTTTTCAAAGAGCCACTCAGCGTGAAAATCCATCTCATGCTTAACTTTGTTTAACTCTTTCATGTTGAAGCCCAGTAACACACCAGGCTTGTACTTTTCACAGTCTCTGACACACTTCTTCCTCTTGTTACTAAAATGGGAAGCAATGTCACTCTTCCACAACCATAAGCTTGCCGCCAGCTTCTCAATTTCTCTCCTGGTGGGATAGGATTGTTTGTTGAAATATTTTGTTAGGAAGCTTTTCCTGGCTTCATAGGAATCATCTTCATGACCCTTAGGGTCTAAAGCTAAAACAACAGGCTCCTCAGGCTTCTCTTCAAAGGAGCCTGGTGAGTCACTATCTTCATCCAGCTTTCGCTTCTTCAGCAAGGGAAACTCCATCTGCTCGTAAGTGCGCTTCACAGGTGCCAGGCCTGGAGACTGGCTGAGCCGCGAGGGTGCATTTGTTTTGTCTTGGCCGTTCTGGGTCTTCCCCACGCCCCTGCAGTGAACCAGATGCAGAGTGATGGTAGAGGCGGTCATGTCGATGGTATACACGCCAAGGCAGCGGATGCACTTGTAGGTGAGCTTTTTCTCCACTGGATGAACCGTCTGAATCACCCGGTGCCTCTCTCGTAAGTGATGTGCTAGTGCATCGGATATGGGTCCTTTCAGGATTGAAAAGTAAAGAGGGCAAAGGGTTTCCCCTACATCTTTTTTATAGGGCACTGCAGCTTGAGGTGAGCTTTTAACAGGGATATCTGCCTTTTCCTGCACTTTTGGCTGTGGCTTTGGAGGGATGGGTGGGTTATTTTGGGCATGGTAAGCAACAGACTCAGCAGGAGCATCCCTTAGGTTATACGTGGTTACAAGGAAATGGATGTTAGTGTGACTACCCTGCTGCAATGTCAAATGAAAACTCAGAGTAGAATCTGTTTTAGGTCCCATCTCTTCGTCCACGTGAACCATCCGCATATGAGCCGCCATCTTTTCCACATCATTGAAGGTTGACCGGCAATAGGGACAGGACAGACCATGAATTAGCATATGGTTGAGCAGAGTGTCTGTGGGCAAATAGCGATTACAGTAGAGGCATTTGCTAGTGAAATTCTGTATTTTCATAATGTAGTTGGCTACTGCTGGGACTTTCTCAGCTTTATGTTCTTTTTCGAAGAGCACGCTATATACATTTTCAGGAAAAAGCTCATTACAGATTGTACATATTTTCCACTTCTGAGTTGAGGAAGTATTGGGTGGTGGAGGGCCAGTGGCAGCTGCAGTTGGCTTGGAGCTGGACTGACCTAATACTCTGGATGCCTGTGACTGGGAGAGGGAAGGAGACTTTAACTGGCCTGAAGAGAGAGATGGGGCATTTGGAGACTGCAGTGAGTATCTTGCTGGCGCCTGGGTCCTCTGCTCTGACCCAAGACCGTAAGATCTTCCATTGCCACTTGGAAGCAACTGCTTCACAGACTGAGACTGTTGAGGGATGGAAACCGGTGCGTTGCCACCTAGCCCCAGTCTCATTGACTGACCAACGCCATAGCCCTGGCCTACAGATTTGACTCCATAGTTGTTCTGCTGTAGGTGAACATTGGACATCATGTTGACACCTGTGGAATTTAAGTTAGGCTTTGGTATTGAGGGTCGATTTACCATCTGCTGTGATGGCAAAGACCGTACGTTTCCAGAAGCGAGGGAACCAATTCTCGATTGGAGTCCCATGCCCTTCTTCTCTTGAGGTTTGGGAGCAATGAGCATGAAGGGTTTGGATCGGGGAACCACCACATTTGTGTGGCCAATCATGGCAGTGACCTGATAGCCTACGCGCTCATGGTCTTCAGTGACATGCTGCACCAAAGCTTCGTAAGACTTCGGCATGAAAAGGCATCACTTGCAGTGAATACTGCTTTCCTCCCGGGCATTTGCGCCTAAGGGGACTGCACCATTGAGTGACTTTTCTCCTGCCTTTGCTATGTAAGGTGCTGCCACATGCTGAAAATGTTCCCTGTAAATGTGCTTCCTAACTATTTCATAAAGAGGATCTCGGTAAGTGCACTTCTTACAGTAATAAACAGCTTGCTCTACACTGTCAGCNCGGCGGCGGCGGCGGCCGCTGCGCTCCTCTCTCCTAGGCTGTTTTGATTTGGCCAGTATAAAGAAAGGAGTCACTCATCAATGCGTGGCGATTTCCAAGTCAAAGCCCTAACTTGGGACAGACTGCTTGTCATCTGCTCAGTTGTTTCACAGAGACTCAGTAAAGGGAGCATCTTTTCGAATATAAACAGGAAATTCCATTTTTAAAAGTTGTATAATTGGATAAAGTGTAAATAAACCCTGAAATAATATTAGAACCAGACCAGATTCGCAGGTTAAAATCATTATCTTGGGACATAGTCAACTGTTTGATGACAAAAGCCCACCTCCTGGGATTTATAGCCTGAGAGACTTTCACTTTGTTTGGAAACAAATTAAAGAAAAAGATTTAAGCCAAAACGTGTATCTGTAAATAATATGTGGGGCTCAGATATTTTCCATTTGTTTTTCAAGATCAAAATGCATATTGAATTTCAACAAGGTGCCAGATACAATGTTGCACAGTATGGTACAATGAGAGATAGTTCCGACCTCAACAAGTTTACAAAGTAGATTAATTTAATGAATTGTTGCATAATTTTTACTCTTTTTGGTGTCAATGGATCCTAGATAGGTTAGGATTAAATTCAGCTGGAAGAGACCAAAAACTTCAAATAACTATGGCTTAAGTTAGGTAGTAGTTATTTGTTCTTTCCTACAAACCCAAGCAAACTGTAACTAGAACATGATGTCCATGATCAGCAAGGATGAAGGATTCAAATTGATTTTCCTTTTAACACTAGATTTCCATCTCATATTCCAAGAAGGCTTATCAAGCCCTAGCCATCATGTTGATGGAAAGAGGATGAAGATAAACTCTTCTTATTTAATAACATAGTCATCTGTTGATGCCTTGATGGAAGGCAAGATGGATAATCCAACTTTTTTTCTCAGCTAAAAATGAAGGGAAGGATGAATACTGGAAAGGTTGACAATCATCATTCTATATGACAGACATCTTCAAGAATCTTTTCAACTACCAGGAAAAAAAGGACCAAAACAATTATGTAAAGACTAAACACCATGCTACCAAAAAAAAAAAAAAAGAATCAACAATGAAATCAGGGAATACCTCAAGACAAACAGCAATACAAACATAGCCTCAAAAAATCTATGGGATACAGTAAAAGAACTGAGAGGGATGTGCAAGGAATATGGGCCTTCCCAAAGAAAGAAGAAAAATCTCAAAGAATCTTTTTTAAAAAATAAGACATCGTTTGAAAAATTCACATATGCACACATACATATATGATTTTAGAAATTTTTTCAGACTCACCCTCTGCCAGAGTCTGACCAAGATCCCTAGGAATATGAAAATATATAAATGATACTTTTTGTCAGCATCACCTGTGTCACAAAGAGAATTCTCTAGGAAGCATATTTGAGATGGAGTTACAAATTTTAAAGGTTTTGTTGGAGGAAAACTACTTGTCAAAATAAAAGGAGATGAAATAGGGTTGGGCAGGTTGGAGGCATCAGATAACTATGCAGAACTGAGAAAACTGCCAATTTAATGGAGGGACTTTTGGGCAAAAAACAAGGACTTTTGCCTTTTAGAGANAAGTTCAAGAATACTGAAGTGGGTAGCCTATCCCTTCTCCAGTGGATCTTCCTGACCCAGGAGTCAAACCAGGGTCTCCTGCATTGAAGGCAGATTTTTACCAACTGAGTTATCAGAGAAGCCCCAATGGACATGAGTTTGAGCAAACTCCAGGGAACAGTGAAGGACAGGGAAGCCTGGTGTGCTACAGTCCATGGGGTCACAAAGTGTTGGATCAACTGAGTGGCTGAATAAAAACAAAAGAGATAAAAGCTAGAGGCTATCTAATAATCAAGTCTTGCAGCTGGGCAGGAGTCCTTTCTCAAAGGGATCTGAGTGGTGCATCTCATTTTCTGCAGCAAAAAACTACCATTCAGAGGTCTGAGTTACCATAGGACCATCAAAGCCAGCTGTGGGTCTTAATGTCACTCTTGTAAAATTATACCTCTGTGTTACCACACTGAAATTCATGGAGATCTTTCCCATTCATTAATCTTGCATAGTTCATGATGAAGCCAGGTAACAATGCCTTTGGCCATTTTTAATGAATGGCTCAAGAAAGGAGCAGGACACCGTCACTATAGGATAACAAAATGGAGGAAAAGCTTCAACATCTGAGCCATCTATGTCTGAAATGTCCTCTCTACCATTACCTACTAACCTGAGAGGGGCTAATGTTGGCCAACAGATGAGTCATGGATATTCCCCATTACCTGAGAGCAAGTTTAATGGTAGCAATTTCTCTACCAGGCCAAAGAGTGATATGCCAACACTCTAGGTCCTATTCAAGGAGGAAGAATATAAATTCTACATGTTGACAAAATAGCTTAATTACTCAAAGTGATCAAAATGGAGCACAGTTAGTTTTGTAGAAGTTCAGCTCAATTCCTGTCATGAGTTCATGATTATTCACATAACTTAAAGCCTAGGAGTTGTTGCCGCATAACTTACTCATAAATGATGAGCTTACTCAGTGCCAGGAAGAACTCCACTGTAACAATATGTTAACCCTCTAGTGAAAATGTGAATTTGAGATATCCAGTGTCATTTTTTCTTTCTTTTTGGATAACAGGTACTAAAAGTTGATTTAATTATACTCTTCCATTAATGGCACACTTATTTAGTAACTACTGTACTCTGTGGCTTCCTTTATCCTTAATTTAATTTTATTATCCTTTGGTAGGCCTGTATCTTTTAAAAAGCAGTATGGTTATTCTGTGTGTATCTGTATTTTAACTTTTATGTACATTACTCTATCGAACTCTTGGTTTTTAAAGATAAAACATTATGTTTTAAAGTTATTCTCATGTTGCTCTACATCCATCCAGTTCTTTACATCTAACTGCTGCCTAGGATTTCAGAGCTTGTGTCCATACAGCTTTATTGACCCCTGTGCCTAGTGGTAGATCTCTTAGGTCACTCTCAACTCCTTGATGCCACCATCAGTGCTTTTGAGAGTCACATCTGCTGAGATAAGATACAGGAAATGCAAGCCATAACAGTGCCATTAAAGCAATCTCAGAGTTGAATTACAAAAACTGTTGAAATAGTAAAAAATCTAGCATAGTGGTACCTAACAGGGGGTATTTTGGCTCTCCTCAGATCAGGAGACATTAGACAATGTCTGGAAACATTTTTGATTGTCATAATTGGCATCTGGTGGGTGGAGGCTAAGAACGCTGTAATGAAGGATAGTACTCTACAACAAAGAATTATTCAACCTAGAATGTCAGTAGCACTGAGATTGAGAAACTTTCTTATAGCACAATCACATTTAACTCTGCAAATATATTCCCTATGTACATTCTTAGAGTTTATTTTTTTTATTATTTTTTAATTAGAGTATAATTGCTTTACAATGTTGTGTTAATTTCTGCTGCACAATAGTGTTAATCAGCTATTTGTACATATGTGTCCCCCTGCCTCCCTCCCAGCCACTCAGCTCACCCCTCTAGGTCATCACAGAGTGTCAGGCTGGACTCCCTGTGTTATATAAAAGTTTTCCATTAGCTATCTATTTAACACATGGTAGTATATACATGTCAATGCTACTTTCTCAACACGTCCCACCCTTTCCTTCCTCCACTGTGTTCAAAAGTCCATTCTCTACTCTGCATCTCTATTCCTATCCTAAAAATAGATTAATCAGTACCATTTTTCTAGGTTCTATATATATGTGTAATATATGATATTTGTTTTTCTCTTTATGACCTACTTCACTTTGTATGACAGACTCTAGGTTCATCCACCTCACTAGAACTTACTCAATTTCATTCCTTTTCATGGTTAAGTAATATTCCATTGTATATATGTGCCACAACTTCTTTATTCATTCATCTGCTGATGGACATTTATGTTCTTTCCATGGCCTGGCTATTGTAAATGGTGCTGCAATGAACACTGGGGTATATGTGTCTTTTTGAATTACAGTTTTCTCAGAGTATATGTCCAGAAGTGGGATTGCTGAGTCATAGGGTAATTTTATTTTTAGTTTTTTAAAGGAAACTCCATGATGATTGTATCAGTTTACATCTCCACTAACAGTGAAGTTTCGTCCAGATTTGTTTTCTTGTTTCTGCTTCCTTGCTGTACTGTTACACTGACATTCCTTTCCTTGTTTCTCCTGCTTTATTNAAATGCTGGAGAAGTAGCAGAGAAAAAGGAACCCTGTTGCATTGTGGCTGGGGTTCTATATTTATGTCTATAGTTTTATATTTAACTATTTAATCCATTTTGAGTTTATTGTAAATAGTGTCAGAGAGTGGTCCAGTTAGAATCTTTTGCATAAAACTGTCCAATTTTTCTAACATCATTTGTTGAAGAGACTGTCTTTTCCCTAATGTATATTCTTGTGTCCTTTATCATGGATTAATTGTCATATAAGTGGCAGTTAATTTCTGGGCTCTCTTATCTGTTTCATTGATCTACGTGCCTATTTTTGTGCCAGAAGCATATTGTTCTGATGACTGTTGCTTTCTAGAATACTTTGAAATTAGGAGTTCAATACCTCCAGCTTTGTTCTTCTTTCTCAAGATTGTTTTAGCTGTCTGGGGTCCTTGTGTTTCCATATAAATGTTAGAAGTATTTGTTCGAGTATGGGTGCTTTGATAGGGATTTCACTGAATCTGTAGATCACCTTGGGTGATATGGTGTTTTTAACAACATTAAATCTTTCAGTCCATGAACACATTATATTTTTCCATCTGTTCTATCTTGAATTTCTTTTATCAGTATTGTTACGGAGCAGGTCCCTATGCAACCTTCCAAGAATAAACTCCCAGCCATATCCTCTGCTTGCCTTTTGTCTGTAGAGAGGGAAAAAAACAAAACAAAACAAAAAAAAAAACTGAATAAAGAACAAACTTAATCAGAAGAGTGAAAAAATGCAGAAAGAAAGGAAAAACAGTCAAGAAAGACAAAATAATAATATTTTATCCATTAATTGAAGTCAAGGACTTTAATTCTTCCTCGAGGACTAGAGATGATATTCTGAGCCATGTCCTTTGAGATGGTTTATAGATACGGAAACTAACACCAGGGGGGAATAAACCAACTGCTTGCTGCCCAAAGTGCACAGACCCCAGACTGTTTGGAACCAAAAAGTTGAGGATACTGACTCCCCATTACCTCACCACAATCCAAACAGAAGTATATCCACAAGCTAATCACGCCTACACTTTGAACCATTACTATAAAACTCCTCACTACGTCCTCCAGGTTGGGACACACAGTTTTGACAGCATTGGCCTGCTGAGGCCCCCTTTGCCTGACAAAGCAATAAAGTTATTTGTTACTTCCGTTCAATTCAGTTGCTCAGTCGTCTCTGACTCTTTGCAACACCATGAACTGCAGCACACCAGGCCTCCCTGTCCATCACCAACTCCCAGGGTTTACCCAAGCCCATGTCCATTGTGTCAGTGATGCCATCCAACCACCTCATCCTCTGTCATCCCCTTCTCATCCTGCCCTCAATCTTTCCCAGATTCAGGGTCTTTTTTTTTTTTTAAGAACATCAGGATATACCCAATAATGTGATATTAGGGAAGACCAATCCTGTGGTCTTCCTCAATATTTCCAGGGATGTCAAAGGCCTAATTTTTCTGGTTCACTTTTAGTTTTGAATCCTGACTTCTAAATTATCCCTTCTCTGTTGTGAATTTCATGTACAGTCTTTTAAAACTTGGCATCACCAGGCAGAGCATTATCTACATCCCTTTATTTTTTGAAGTGCAAGGAGATATGACATAAGTGTTGCCTTCTTGCAGGAAAAATGAGGTAAAAAGTGGTTAAGAAATTTGTCCAAAGTCACCCAGCTAGTGAGTTAGAAAGAAAACATCATGGATCATGTTCTCAGGGAACTTATAGTCTTGGGACAAGGCATACAATGACTATACAAAGTTCCAAGAAGTGCTGGAATGGAGGGATGGAGAGTGATGGGATGGTTGCTTTGCCTGGTAGAGGAACAATGCCCTTAGAGAGGAAAGACTGCCATATACTAGAGTCAAGATGTGAAAGACAAATAGACTCCCAGAAGTCAGGAAGAGAGTGGGGAATATGCGAGCAAAGACCCAGAGGCAGGAAAGTATGGCCGCATTCTGAATCACCAACTATGGGAAGTAGCAACAGTAGCTAGAAGGTTGCTTAGATAGAGGTGTGCCATGCTGAGGCTTTATACTGTGGGCCTTAGGAGGCCATTGGAGGATTTTGAGCAGGGGCAGGGTAGGACTGAATTTCTAGGTTATTCTATTTCAGTGAGTTCTGTGCTCACTGGCAGTGTCCTTATTCCCTACTAAAGCCTGTCACTGATGTGCTATGAAACCTGGGTCTATGGTCTCAGGAACTGTCCAGCATGAGCTGACTCACTGTGAGAGTAAGCACCATATCAGGCATGCCATCATCTCTTCCTCAGTGACAAGGAAGCCACCCACATCATCAACTCTCTGGGTGTTTTGCTCTCCCAAGTCAGAAGAAGACAGCTTCAGGGATTCAAGTCAATTTCCTTCTAACTGAATCTCCAACTTCCCTTTGGAAATAGAATTGTGCCTGACTCTTTTGAGACCCCATAGACTGTGGCCCACCAGGCTCCTCTCTCTATAGGATTTCCCAGGGAAGAATACTAGAAGAATACACATGGAAGAGAAGGATCACTTCCACCAATCCCTAAGTTCTATGATACATATGGTGCTGACCTCAGCCAAGCCTCTGTGATCTACCCAGTCATATTTTCTATTCCTCTCCCTTAAAGATTTAGGGATTCAAACCAGCAACCACTTCCTTCTATTGCAAGTCTCAAAAATGAGGTTCCTTGCTCACACTATAGCAATTAGAGGCATAAAGTGCTCTTGAGAGACTCGCTGGTTCTGAAAAATAAGGTTCTTTTCAATATTGTGAGAGTATTCAAGAATTGATAAAGTTTCTGTGAACTCTGCCCTTTCAACCCCACACCTCAAATTCTAAACTGAAGCACTAAGCAGCAATTTTCTTAAAATTCTCCTAATCATTTTGCCATAAGTAACTTTCCCCCAAACAGTCTAATGGCATAAAGAGTTTTCTTTCAAAAGAAATGTCCCAAACTTCATTTCTAATATTTTTCCCAAGATGGTTGAATTATCTGAAATGTACATAAGACTTGTAAAATGGAAATAAAATTACCTTAGTAAGACTTTCAACTCATATTGAGTTTCTGAAGTCATAGTT